GATTATCTGAAGGATAAATTGCCAACTCCCCACTGGAAGTTTAAAGCAAYACATACCAATTTTCAGGCAGGTTCTTCTATGTCAAATGCAGAGATTGAAATATTTGTAGCATCATTGTGAGGTGTTCATGATAAATAAATAGATTACATGAGTGTAACTGTTCCTGGGGAGGAGGTGACAGRTCTTTGCACTCCTCTCTGCTGCAGGCAGTGGCTGCCACGGGRCAAAGTCTTTCCCCTGGGCGTGGATGACACCATGGACAAGCTGAAGATGATGGAGGGACGCAAAACCAGCATCCGCAAATCGGTGCAGGTGGCCTAYGACCGAGCCATGATCCACCTGAGCCGGGTGCAGGGGGACAATCCCTTCCTCCCRGCCCCCTACCTGTGAGGGACACCGTGGCCAGGCCTCCTGTTCCTCCCCACCTCCAGCTCGCTGCACTGGCAGAGTGGAGCATCTCCAGCAGCTGTCAGCACTCCTCGGAGTACCCTGAAATGTGCCAAAAAAAAAACCCTTGTCCAGCTTCCTTCTGAATGTGTCTCGCTGAAGAGCTGGCAGGAGATGAAATGTAGTCCACAGGGAGTAAGGTAGGTAGGAGAAGCTGACAGGAGCCAAGGTGAGTTGCTGCAGTGAGCAGAGCACACAGCACTTGGATGTTTGGACCTCATGCACTGTCCCCTGCCCCTGCYTCCCCTGTGCTGCCAGGGGTTTGCGTTGTCAGCCAGGCCCAGGTGATTCCTGGGAACCTGACACCACCAGGATTCTTTAAAGAAATCCCAACTGGACTTTCTTGTGCCAAATTTACCCTAACCATCATCRGCCTTCTCATTTTTCTTTAAAAGACATTGTCCTATCACATAAAACCCCCACAAAATCATAGCTGGGAGTTTGGATTTTGATTTTCCTGCCTATRTACATCGTTTTTTCATGGTTAGATTTCTCTCACTGCATTTAGAAAAGCTTGAGATTTCAGTAACCTTTCCCCCCCCTGCACACAGTTACATGCACAGATGCACAGAGCTTTAAAGATGAAAATCAAATTACCTGATCTGTGTCTACATGTATGTCCTAGAAATTTCTTTTGTAGTTTCACATTTCAATTCTGATTTCTGTGACCCTGCTTGATGCAGTAACATTTCATATCATGACTTAGCACAGTATTTAAGGAAAGAGAACTTCCTTTTTTTRAAGAAGTAACTTTGGAGGTGTCTAATGAGCTGGAGCAGCTTTGCAGGCACTGAGGTTGATCAGGGTTGGAGGGAGATGCATCTTTTGTGTTGGTTTATGCACATTTGGTGTAAGGCTCCTCTTCCTTTTTCCCCCCCTCTTTTCTGTCTCCCCTAATGTTTTCCTGTGACACATTTGGGACTGAAACCAAGCACTGACAGAGCACACAACCCTTCTGCTGTTTCACCTTCTCCCACACGTGCACATCCTTCCCTGGTGTGTGGGTCTCCGGTGTTGTCATCCAAGGAAACCCAGACAATCCCTGTTGTTTTGGGTTTGCATTGCAAAAAAACAAAAAAAACAGGGACAAACTGATGTTTGGAAACTTGGTGACTAAATCTTTTCTATTAGCCAAGGACTTGAAGGTTTCTCTGATCTCTTCTGTTGCATATCCCTCTTTGCTTTCCCATTTTAAAGAGCCAAAGGTGCAAAGCAAGATTGTAGATTGAATATCATCATTTTGCTTTTTAACTCAGTATTTTTTTATTATTTTTAACTTTTTCATACTGAAGAGAATGTGGAGTCAAAATAATAATAATAAAATAATAATAATAATTAATGATAATGAATAGTAGGGAGTAATCACTGCCATTTCTACTTGCTCTACTTTTTTAAAATACCACTTCTTATACATTGGGGCATGGAACTGCATTTGAAGGAATTTTAAGATTCCTGTAACATATAGAGATGGGGCATAGGAGTTTGTAAAAATATTAATAGTGATAATAATGCCCATGGAGTGTGGCTAGGGAAGGATGTTGTGTATATAGTTGTAAAATGTTCTAAATTATTTAGACMTATTGTCACCATTCTTGAAGTCCTCAGTTGTGTTGCTGGGTCTTTTATATGCACACAGTGTAATTTATTTAAAGGAACATTCACTTTTCCAGGTGGTAGCTCAGCTGTGGACTAGTGACCTGTGTATATGTTTTAAGGTCTTGGGAGTTGGTCTTTTTATTTTTTTTCCCGTTTTGTTTGGTTTTTAAATGATTTTAGAATTTGGATTGGCTGATAYCCTGTTGTTGCTACAGAACCTAAATGTTACTGTCAGTTCTGCTGTAAAGCACAGATTGCTCTATTTATTGTAGAAAGTGAGTTTATTTGCTTTCTAGAATTGTTTATATCAGATGGTATAAGAGAAGTAATAAGAAAATCTATGCTTGTAAAGAAAAGAAAAAGCTAATTTTACCTACTATAATCTGACTGTCTGAGACTATATTTTCTCTCTGAGAAATAAATGTTCTAATGTATGGAAAAAAAAAACCCAAAACAAAACACCACCCTCAGAAAGAGTCCTTCTTGCTAACGTTGTCCTGAAATCCAAAACTTACCTTGATGGCTTTTAATCATCCCAGTGGTCCCAGGTTGAGGTGGGAAGAGCCACGACAGGGAAGWGACACAGGGAGGGTTTTCTTGTCCTGCCTGGACCATCTCCTGTGGGTGAGGTTGTTCCCTGTGCAGTGGTGACACGCTGGGTGCTGCATGGAGGGTCCCACCTTGCACTGGTGGGGTATGCTGGGGAGGTTTTTGTGTGTTTTAGGAGTTTTTGCAATTTTTTTATTTTGGGTTTTTTTTTTTTTTTAATTCATGTTAAATTAAATCAGGTYTGTCTCTCAGAGAAAAACRACAAAAGGCACACACAAAKATAAAGTCCAAATGCCTGGGAAAAACAACTCCACCTTAGGAAAGTGATTTCTTGAGATACTGTTTGGAGTTTTATTGGCAACAAGGTTCTGCCTGTCACATGCTTCGCTTCAGCCTCACTGCTGCTGCTTCCTCCCAGTGGGAACAGAAGGGAAAATGGGACTGGGAGCCTCCAGCAGCTGCCAGGAGAGCCCTCACGGCCCAGCAGGAGCGCTGGGAGAAACCCAGGATGGCCCAGATCCATCCCTGCACRCCCTCCCAACCCAGCCCTTGGCTCAGGACAGATGTTCTGCCCAAAAGAGCCCCTTAAAGCACCCACAGTTGGTTTGACTGAACAGCACCCAGGGCAGGACCAGCCAGGATGTGTCCCCAGGATGTGGGGACAGCGCTGGAGAGCTGCACTGAGCGCTGGGCAGGGTCACCCCCGGCTCTGGGATGGCTCCTCCTGGTCAGCCCTGCCCTGCAGGGCCCAGGGAGGCGCTGCCAGCACTGATACCCTGTTCCTCCAACACTCCCGGGAGCTGCCATTTCCTCTCCCTGCCCAAACCCTTCCTGCAAGGGATGCCTCGAGATGTGCATTCCTGTCACACCTCGGGCAGGGCCAACTGCAGGAACACATTGGGGTAAAAATATCTGCAGCT